CCCCAGGCATGGAGTGCGTAACAGTCTGCTGCTGGCTCCTATGCCCACTGCCTCCACTGCTCAGATCCTGGGAAACAATGAGTCAATCGAGCCATACACTAGCAACATCTACACACGCAGAGTTCTGTCTGGAGAGTTTCAGGTGAGCCTGACGTTACAGTGAACGTTTGCAAGAACAGATAAACTGTCTTTGTATAAAATTAACTGGTGGCTTACATTTACCTCTAGATTGTGAACCCACATCTTCTCAAAGACCTCACGGAACGAGGACTTTGGAATGAAGAAATGAAAAACCAGCTAATTGCTCAGAACGGATCCATCCAGGTTAGTTGCCACTTCCAATTTGGATGACGTTTTTGCTTTTGTCCCTTTCTAAACGTCCTTCTTTTTGCAGGGCATTCCCACAATACCAGATGACCTGAAGGAGCTGTATAAGACTGTGTGGGAGATCTCTCAAAAGACCATCTTAAAGATGGCTGCAGACAGAGGAGCCTTCATTGACCAGAGCCAGTCCCTCAACATCCACATCGCTGAACCCAACTATGGCAAACTGACCAGCATGCACTTCTATGGCTGGAAGCTGGTAAGCTAGATGATTTCTGAGCCTGGATTTGGAAGTCTAGAAATTCAATAAGTCGATAGATAAACGGTACATCTGCTGCTCCCCACAGGGTCTTAAAACAGGAATGTACTACCTGAGAACTAAACCAGCTGCCAACCCCATCCAGTTTACTCTCAACAAAGAAAAACTGAAGGAGACGCAGAAAAGTACAAGCAACGAGGAGGAAACCAAAGAACGCAACATAGCTGCTATGGTGTGTTCGCTGGAGAACCGTGACGAGTGTCTGATGTGCGGTTCATGAACTCCTGTTGACAAGGACCATTAGGATGGTTGCCAATTTGCGTCTTGTATAGTATTATTTACATCTTGTACTTTTTTTAAATGACCATAAAAAAATAGTAATTTTCATTGTATTAATTTACTTTTGCATGTGTATACAATAAATGCAAAGAATTACAATAAAAAATAATTTTGGGTAGCTCAAACTTTATTCAGGTTTATGAAAAGAGGGTCTGGAGTCATTTCGAATAAGCTTCTGATCAATTTCCATGGATTTTGTGGTTTAGGGTAAATGAATAAAGAAATGGTTGCTCAAAATCAGGGAATTGTAGTTTTGGAAGGGTACGTGCGATTGTTTAGCTCAGGGCTGTCCAAACTCGGTCCTGGAGGGCCGGTGTCCT